CTGGAATGTTAGGTCCATGAATCAAGGCACATTGGAAGTGGTCAAACAGGAGATGGCAAGAGTGAATGTCGACATTCTAGTTATCAGCAAACTAAAATGGACTGGAATGGGTGAATTTAGCTCAGATGACCATTATATCTACTACTGTGGACAGGAATCCCTTAGAAGAAATGGAGTGGCTATCATGGTCAACAAAAGGGTCCTAAATGCAGTACTTGGATGCAATCTCAAAAACAACAGAATGATCTCTATTCATTTCCAAGGCAAACCATTCAATATCACAGTAATCCAAGCCTATGCCCCAACCAGTAATGCTGAAGAAGCTGAACAGTTCTATGAAGACCTACAAGACCTTTTAGAACTAACACCCAAAAAATATGTCTTTTTCATTATAGGGGACTAGAATACAAAAGTAGGAAGTCAAGAAACACCTGGAGTAACAGGCAAGTTTGGCTTTGGAGTACAGAATGAAGCAGGGCAAAATCTAATAGAGTTTTGCCAAGAGAACGTACTGGTCATAGCAAATACCCTCTTCCAACAACACAAGAGAACACTCTACACATGGACCTCACCAGATGGTCAACACTGAAATCAGATTGATATATTCTTTGCAGCCAAAGATGGAGAAGCTGTATACAGTCAGCAAAAACAAGACCGGGAGCTAACAGTGGCTCAGATCATGAACTCCTTATTGCCAAATTCAGACTTAAACTGAAGAAAGTAGGGAAAAAGAGAGAAGCGAAAAGCAAAGGAGAAAAGGAAAGATACTTAAGGATAAGTTCAGTTCAGTTCAGTCACTCAGTCGTCTCCGACTCTTTGCGATCCCATGAATCGCAGCACACCAGGCCTCCCTGTCCATCACCAACTCCCGGAGCCCACTCAAACTCATGTCCATCGTGTCGGTGATGCCATTAAGGATAGAGGGGCACAAATCTTCATATTACATTGAAATGGTTCAGAAAGAAGTGTATGTGTTGTGTATGCAGAAAGAATGAAATAAAAAATAGTACAAAAATAAGAATTTGGTAGGATTATGGAATTTCTTCATACCAGTCTTAAAATTTTTCTGCAAATTTGCAGTATCAAATTAAAAGTTATAAATCATGCAAAAAAGTCTGCAAAATTCGATTTTTTCAGAATTTTAGAAACCATCCAAATTCAGAGCTGTTCAGATATATAGTTTCAGAGGAATTGGCAATTTGAATTTTATATTCTCCCTAGTATTAAAAACAGGGACTATGAAACCAAAGTATAAAAGTGATAAAAATATACTTTTATCAATGTTTATATATTCAAAGCCTCCCTTAATACTTTTTATACTGGTTTCTAATCTTGTCTCCTCACAGGTTGAGAGATAAGACCCCTATTTGGGGGACATTTTTATTGCATATTCAGTGGAGGTGGGAAATCACTTGTCAGAAGTGTCTTAGAAAGACTGTATCAGACAAGAACACAGGGAGCTGTGACCCTTTTTTTTTTTGTCTTTTATTGAATTTGCTACAATATTCTGTTTTTTCATGTTTTGGAGTTTTAGCCAGTGGTGTGTAGGATCTTAGCTTGCTGACCAGGGATTGACCCCTCCACCCCTGGGCATTGGAAGGTGAAGTCTTAACCACTGGACAACCAGGAAAGTCCCTGGGAGCTGATGGAAAGTCCCTGGGAGCTGATTCTTATTTAGATCTTAAATATCTTCAGGTAAAAATCATAAGAAACAGTATTTGCGATACAGAGTTTCGAACTCTCACCTCTCTCACGGATCTTGCTGCTGTTACACTAAGCACCAGTCATTTTCCAGGCCATTTCTGATCCTCTAAATTACAAAATAAACCATTAGCCTTTGGATGTATTGGTCAGCATCTGATCATTTGTTGATTTTAGAACAACGCTAACTGGTTCTTGGCCCAATGCTGACCCTGGCATTGCTGTTCAGAATGGGGTTTGGTACCACCAACACTCATCTGATTGGCTCCCAGGATGTGAGAGTGCAGGAGGGACTATTTATGATCAACCAACCCAATGTCACCCTTTTGTTTCATAGAATGCTTTCTCTTTCCATCCAAACCTGAACATGTGCTGGGGCAGGAGAGCGCCCCAGCTCAGCTATAAGGATTCCTTGATTCCAGGTCAAAACGGCTGCTGACATACTGTCAGCTTGATCAAAACTCCCCTCAATTTCCTTCTCCAAAATACAGATAATGATGGGATGTGGAGCAGGCTTTGTCCAGGTCTTTAGAGCTGACTTTGACTTGTCTCTTTCCCCCAACCCCCCATCTCTTGGGAGCCCCCAGTCCCCTCCCATTCTGCTTTCTTTTCTCAGGATCCACCCCACTCTCTCTGCTTTCAGTGCCATTATCCCAGTTGAGATCTTCATCTGTTCACCTTATAACTGGTCTTCTTTCCTAAATTGTGCTCACCACACCCCGCCTCATTCCACTACTATGCATTCTTCACAAGAAGTGCCAAAGTGTTATTTTTTAAAATGAATATATGATCATGTCCCTCCCTTAAAGTGTTCACTGGCTCCCTATTAACTTACGTGCTAATAATACTAAACTCCTCAGCATACACACAGACTCAATTCCCTGATATTCCCTTTTGTTCCCTTTTTGTTCGATCTCTGGTGTTCTTTCCCTTTCTCTGTAGAATTCACATCTTACTCTCTGTTGACCTAACCATTTTTCCCCACAGTAAACTCCTTGAGGGCAGAGACTTTTTTTAAACCCAAATTCCTATGGCTAGGATCTAGCAGGGTGCCTGGCACCTGCAATACAGTTGATAGGTAAAAACTCAGGAGACTAGTTCATTAACACTGAATTTTAATTAAAATCGATAGTTTAGATGAAGAACAGGACTAGAATAGTGTTTACCATCAACTTCTGAAAAATCACATTTACATAGAGGAAATAAAAGAGGTCAGCAGAGGTCCCCAAAAAAAAGGTGCAGCTTGTACTATTGCACTTGGATGAAACATGCTGTTCACGGTCACATGATACTTAGGCCACACAAGGCCAGGAGGAGGAGACAAACACCGAGGACAAACCCCCCCAGGTAGTATTTCTTCTGGATTCTCCAGGGAGCTCAAAAATATGCAGTATTTTTAAAAGATTCAACTAGAGCTCTTTACAAAGATGAGTCTTCAACATGTTTTAGTTACGGCCATGCTCTTCATTCCAAATCATGTGCAAGTCTAACATACAACTTCTACTGCAAATAACGAGATATCTGTTACATTAGAATGACCCAGGGCCCCAGGCCATGGAAAGTGAGAAAGGGAATGAATCTCTACTTTATACAATTTCAGGGCATAATACCATGGCTATGGTTTATCCTTTTGAGCACTGTTCATTTTGGTCATTGATTTCAGCACATGAGAAAAAGTGACAGTGAGTACAAGTGGAAATTAAAAATGATTCCTAGGCTATTAGTAGAAAATAAAATTTAAAAAAAAGTCCCCGGCCACGTTCACAAAGGTGGCATAACTGTATGGATAAGAAAAAGGCTGTAAACTTATAGAAAAGATAAACTCTGGCTTCTAAACAAATTACAAAATTGATTTTGCCTTTACCTTTAAGTGTTATAGAGAAAAATGTAAACCAGTAGACCCTAGTTACCAGAAAAAAAAATCCTCCAAAGACAAGAAATGACCTTAAAGTTTNACTTCTTCCAAAGCCTTTGCAAAAAAGCCGAGCTCTTTATTGTTATCAAGCTTAGCTCTGTGGGCTAAGCCTCTGGTCCAGGCAAAAATGGAAGCTGAAAAGACAGGGGGAATAAAAAAAAGCACAATTCAATCATGCTGATTAGAAATATTCCCAAGTCTTTGTTTGACAAAATAGAATATTTCTTTTGTTTAGGTGACTGACTTCATTGGATGCTATCCACATGAGCTGTAAGTTTCAGGAAATATTTTATCAAATAGAAACTTTAAAAAAAAAAAAAACTGCATTTTTGTAGAGGAAATGTTTTGGATTTTGTTAGAGCTTTAAGAAAGCATATAGTCATGGTAGGAAACTTATTAATTTGGAAAAGGTCACAACCTCTTTTGTCTCGTCTGGACTGCTCTCTCCTCTTTCCAGGCTGTAATCTGTTTTTAAAGTACTGTCCTTGAGGACTTGCCTGGTGGCCCAGTGGTTAAGAATCAACCGCCAATGCAGGGGATGTGGGTTCAATCCCTGGCCTGGGGGAATTCCATATGACATGGACATCTAAGCCTGTGAGCCACAACTACTGAGCCCATGCTCCAGAGCTTGCGCTCTGAAACAAGAGGAGCCGCTGCAATGAGAAGCCCACACCCTCTGCCACTAAAGGCTGTGTACAGCAACGAAGACCCAGTACAGCCAAAAATTTAAAAAAATTAATCAAAAAAAAGTATTGTCCTTGAAACTTAGTTAAAAGGGTCTGTCAGTGTGGCTTTAGGTTCTCAGCCACATGTGACGTTTCACTGAAGCAAAAGAAAAGGAAAAGGAAAATGCTTGTTGATAACATTCTTCTCTGTAATATATATTCTCCCACAAAATGGAAAAGCATATATTGTGTATATTTTAAGAAACATATTAAAACAGTTCGTATTGGTAGGACAAATCAGCTGTTAGGTGATCATTTTATACACAAGGCATTGGGCAGCCAAAGGCACACATGTCGGGGTCCCTTTGAAGATTTCTATTCTGGTTAGAAATCAATGTAGCAGCCAACACTATCTTACCAATGGGATTGGTGGATGTCTCCTGTCCTTTCTGGTACATTCGGTAGTGACGGGTTACGGTGCCGTGGGCAGCCTCTGCTTCTACTGTCTTGCCATCTGGACAAACCAGCACACTGGTCATCATGCCAAGAGAGCCGTAACCTGTGAGCGGCAGAACATGAAGGATGGGATTCAAGTGTAGGAAGAGCACTGGGTCTCCCAGAGAGGAAGGAAAATGACTGCATCTTGACAGGACTCAGTGAGCAAAATAAACATGAGTGCACGGAGTCATCGGTAATTCTTCCGCCTTTCAGAAAAGGCTATGTTTTTCCTCACTTATTTACTTCAGAGGCACCTGCTCATGGTCTGCCTGTATTCCACCCTAGTTCCATGACTTCCTAGCTATTGTGGCTCAGTTTCCTTACCTGTAAAATGGGTATAGTAGGGCTTCCCTGGTGGTACGGTGGATAAGAATCCACCTGCCAGTGTAGGAGAAGCAGGTTCAATCCCTGGCCTGGGAAGATCCCACGTGCTGAGGGGTAACCAAGTCCAGGTGCAACAACTACTGAAGCCCGCACGCCCTAGAGCCTGTGTTCTGCAACCATGGAAGCCGCCAAAATGGTAAGCCTCCACTCTCTACAACTAGAGAAAGCCTGTGTGCAGCAATGAAGACCCAGCGTGGCCAAAAATAAAAATCAATCAATAAATCTTTAAAAAAGGAGGGGGGAGGAGAATAGTAAAAACACCTACTTCATAGGGCTGTTGTGAGAATTAGACGTATATGCATATATTCATGACTATATATGAAAAGAAAACACATTCCTATTCCCTAGAATACTACCCTCCAGAGAATAAGAGTGCAGTATATTATTGTTACGCTTATGTGCAGACGCTCTGCTATTCTGGGAAAATAAAGATTCAGGAGTTGTCTCCAGCCACCAAGCTGCTCAGAGGCTCACGCGGGACTGGGAAGAGAAAGCTGGTTAAAAACAGAATAGGATAGATCCGAGCACCTCCCACTCGCCCCTGCTCTCTTTTACAGCCTCACCAGAACGATTCTGATCTGTGGTTTCCTAGTCAGAGAACCAAATTACAACTTTTAAGTCCATGTGATTGACTTTCCTTCTTTTATTCATTTTTTTAAATACTCGAATTCAAAGAACACTTTTCGCCATTTTTGCTACCTCCCAATAGTACCTGTGGAGTTAACAATGCAAATTTATAATAGGCTGCTATCTTTTTTTTTTGGTTTGAAAGTAAGGAAAAAAACTTTATAAACTCTTTGAATACAATTAGCAATTTCTGTACCAAATTAGCAGCTCCTTTCCTATCACTGTGTTGGTATGAGGCCTCAGTAGAGGCTCAAATATTCACTGACTGGAGATGTTGGGGGCCATATCCATGGTGATAGTCTATCTATTTATCCATGAGACACTAGCTGGTACCACTGTCAAAACTGAGGACAGAAGTAAAACGTTTGGTGTGAGTCCAAAATAGTTCATGCCTCTAGAAAAGAATGAATGTGAGGACAGCTCTGCTGCCTTTTAATCTGCTATGCTGAGGTCACCTTTATCTGCAGGCACTGCCCAGACACAGAGTCTTGGTTGCAGGTATCTTATCAGTGCATGGCTGGACACTGCACTGCAGCATTCTTGCTCTGAAGTCCTTTGAACCTCCACAGCTTGACAATAACAATTGCGATATCCCTCCGGATACCCTCTTATTGCCATGAGGACATTTAGAAACCATGAGATGATCTGGGTCCATTCTAAGAACTCTGCTCTCCTTGCTTTGTGATGGAATTATCACAAAGCAACACTCCTTCCTCTGCAGCATTCAAACGACTGTGAGGACTTCCCAGGTGGTACCAGTGATAAAGAACGCGCCTGCCAACACAGGAGACATAAGAGATGTGGGTTGGATCCCTGGGTCAGGACAATCCCCTGGAGGAGGGCATGGCAACCCACTCCAGTATTCTTGCCTGGAGAATCCTAGGGACAGAGAAGCTTGGCAGGTTATGGTCCACAGGGTCTGAGAGTCCGACATGACTGAAGCCACAGCACACAGCACGCAGGAGAAACAGAAGGAGGGTAAAGAAAGACCTGGGTAACTCATTTATCTGACATCAAGGTTATCTTGAACCAGGCAGATCTACTGATTTTCAAACTGATAGCGATGATTAACTTTTCACAAGAGAAAGAAAAAGCAGTACTTCCTGGGGAGAAGCAAACATAACTGAAATGAACACAAACATTCATCAGGGAAACTCAGTGCACACTGCTTCACAAGTAACTGAAATTGAAGGACAGCTTAGCACTGAGGAGGGCAGGGAAGGGAGAGCTTTTGCTCCTCTGGTCCCTATCTCTGGCATGCAGCTCCTGGTTTCTGGAACTTCTGCTTCTTTGCTCAATTTAGAGCTAAGCAGTAAACACACGTGTTTTATGTGGTACGGAACAGCTGTCAAGGCTGGCAAAAGGGGCGTGATTTGTACCAGTCACGGGATGAATGTGCTCTTGGGAGGGAGGCCCCTTGGTTAAGAGATAACCCTGGCCCCTTCTCTCCCAGGTCCCATAGTTTTTTACATTCTTATTGGAAGGTAGGGGAAAAGAGTGATTTTCAGATTAGGTGACTGGGCTGCCCATTGGAGGCAGTGAAACTTAAGGAGGGAAAAGGGCTGAGACATAAACTGTGTTAACATCTAAGGCTGGAGATTCAACCCCACTGAGTTACCTCCTGGGCACCCCTGAGAGAAGTCGCCCACCCAGTCTGAGCTTCCTTTCCTCATCAGTCAGCTGAGAAGATGGACCTGATGTCCACAGTGCTACCATTTCAGGAGCTTCACCAAGGGCCACAGAATCCCTCTTCCCACACCGGGGCACCACCTGTCGGCGGCAGGCCAAGCCCCACCTCCACTTGTCCTCCAGCTCCTTACCTTGGGCCACGGAGTCCGACTGCACGTCCCCATCATAGTTCTTACAGGCCCAAATGAAGCCCCCCTCCGATTTCATAGCTTGGGCCACCATGTCATCAATGAGCCTGTGCTCATACCAGATATTCTGAGCTTCAAACTGAGATTTGTACTGCCTGAGAAATGAGAAAGAGAAGAGAATAATAGACAAGGAAAACTGGTTTTATTGGGATACCATCTGCCTCTCTGAAAGGCTTGGAGGTTGGGCTGGAAGCAGCATGTTTTAGTAGAAGTAACACAAATCTGGGNGTGGAATGAGAATTCTTGTAATTTCCTGGAGGATACTGAAAGTTGGTTCTGCTTTGGCAGAATAATCATGCTCCATGTAATCACTGGTGTTTCACAATTTTTACTGTTTAAACTCTGTTATTACTGAAAGCTAGAACTTGAATCCATGCTACTGCCTAGGGCCAGCTTGGGGCTAAGGATGAGAGAGGTGCGGAAACTGGCAGAACTAGATTCCTTTAAAATGATATGGCTTAGAGGAGGCAAGGAGAACAACAGCTAGGTAGATTTTGAGATTTTGTTTGTGTGAGTTCTTTTATCAAGCTTAACAATGGGGAAAGTCCTCTGTTCTTTCAACAAATTTTGGGTGGGATTTGCCATACTGAACCTTAGAAACAGCAAAATCGAGGGAAGAGAAGCAAAAAAAAAAAAAAAAAAACCCCAAAAAACCCCAAAACAAAACCCAAACAGTCCACTTTCACAAAATAAACACTCAGAACCAGAAAAAAACTTCAGCAAAGAAATAAAAGAGCCATTTTCAAATACAAACCCTACCACAGCCAAAGCGTAGGATTGCACAACAGGCAATTTGGGGCTATTAACGTTTAATTTATGTAATTTGTGCATAACAGATTCCTGTCAACCTCCCCTCCCAGTTTTGAGATGCACAATTATCTACTTGTATTTCCAATTAAGTGAATTAAGTGGCTAATTCCTCTTATGTCACAGGAAGCCAATGACTTTTTTGTTCGGTTTTGAGTCCTATGGAAATACTATAGATTCAGGGAAGCCACACAACTAACTTTAAGAAACCGCTGATAACATTGTCTAAATGGCCTGTTAAAAAAAAATGGAAAATACAAACATACCTGTGAAGTTATGTACTAGGTATACCGTTTTGGGGGATCCATCGCTTGGTGTGTAGGATATCTCTACTTTTCCGGGCCCCGGCACAACAAAATCAGTTGCTCTATACTGTACAGGGGGAAAAAATAAAAGAAATTGCAAAACTGTCCTAACAAGAATTACATGAAGGGGAAAAAAACCCATAATACAGAGCTGGAAGACACCTAGACAATAGTACAGTGTAGTCCAACTTTCTAATTGAGGGGTGGAGATAGAGAGGTCCAGAGAATTCCCAAAGCTAGTTAGCAGTACACATTAGAAATCAGTATTTATCAGGTGCCTACAACATAAGGGGTAGCTTCCTAACTACAGATATGAGTATGAAGGAGAGTAACAGAGTATTCCCTCTTACAAAGCCTATGACCTAACAAAGTCATACAAAAGTGAAGTAACATTAAGAGCTTTCAGTGTCAACAGCGGGCATAGATAAAAAATGCTACTGGAAGATGGAGGAAGAGAAATGACCATAACGTGGAGGTCAAGCAAGCCTTCTCCTGGGGGATGACAATATACTAACTGTAGCACTGAAGATGGGCTTCCCTGGCGGCTCAGACGATAAAGAATCCGCCAGCAATGTGGGAGACCTGGGTTTGATCCCTGGGTTGGGAAGATCCCCTAGAGGGCATGGCAACCCACTCCAGTATTCCTGCCTGGAGAATTCCCATGGACAGAGGGGTCTGGTGGCCTACAGTCCATGGGGTCACAAAGAGTCGGACGTGATTAAATGCAGCATGGCACTGAAGATGATGTTGAGCTAATGCCTAGTGCTCACTATGAGACATACTTTAAGTGATTAACCTGTATCCCACATTACCTCATTTGATTCTTCCATCAATCTTACAAGGGAAGAACTATGACGTAGTGCAAATGACCCATTTAGCGTCTGGTCCTTGGCCTTCAGGGCTTGTTCTCTTCATGGACATCATTCTACTAAGGCCCAGCCCAGGACTTGCCCATAGAAAGCAATCATTCTGGAAGCAGCTGCAGTAGGCTGATGACCCTTAAGAAAGGGCCTTCTAAGGACAGCTACCTCTGTCACAGGTAAGGAAAAATATGCCCAGCCCACACTAGGCATATGCCAATCTTTGCTGCCTTGTACCTTCTTTAATGGCTTAGATTGGAATACTTTCAGAGTCAGGTACCAGCAGATGCCAGTCAAACTTATTTATCTTTGTTTACAGTAATACTAAGGACAGCTGAAAGAAGAGCTGTCAGATAACGACAGACTAATATCTATCCTATGCAGAACATTTCAGATATTTATGGGTAGTAATTGATTCTCATTTCTCAAAAGGTGTCAAAGCACCATAAATGCCCTCTAGATGCTTGGAATTTTCAATCTAGTAGACTTTAATAAACAGAATGACCATTCTTCCAGTGATTGATGCCACAATAATTTTAAAAAAGGGAAAAGGAAAAAAAGGATACAACTTAAGGGCCATGTTCCCAGGACTAGTGAGTTTGTAGCAATCTCATCTACATTCCCCCTTCCGAGCCTCTGAGAATTATCTGTGAAGGGAATTGCCTGGAGGAAGGGATAGCCTGAAACACAAAGTGAACTGCCGCTCAAGGACTGACCTGGTAGCCCAGCCCCCAGGAACAGAGTGGTCTGCTCTGCCCATACTATTTTTAACAATGGCAACATCAAAGCCTCTGGGTGTCAGGGACAAAGACTCTTGTTTTTAAGGCTCTTGTAAGATATGAGCTGCTTTCTGTGAAAGTCTAAAACTTCAGTTTCAACACAGAATTTTTATTTTGTTTAGTTGGTAATGTTTCTGTTTAATTTGGCAACAATCTACTTGTATAGAAGTATAGAAACTAGACTTTTTTTCCTCCCCCAAGGAGGAATGTTCTGAAGAGACTGCTTTCAACTACTAAGTTAGTTTGTCCTTTTATGCATGAAATGATCATGTTTAATATAATAATCTTTGGTAGTTCTCAATTCTGTCTGCACATTAGAATCACCTGGAGAGCTTTAAAACACCATGGAACTGAGATTTAGCTGGTGTAGGGTGGGACACAGGCATTGGAATTAAAACAACAAAAAAAGTTTTTTTAAATGGCAATGCAAAACAAAACAAACACCAAAAATCCTGTAAAAAGATCCTATTGTACAGCCCAGGTTTAGCTGAACTACTGATTTAGTTAAACCAAAGGAAATTATATGAAAATGTCTGCATCATATGGTTTAACCTAATAAAAAGATAAAAGGAAAAAAAAGCCTATAAAAAAGTCATTTATAGTGAGACAGGTACGTTTATCTGAGACTGTAAGTTTATCTGAATTTACTTTTATCTAAATGTCTATGTGGGTTTGTATATATACACATATATATTCATTTCTCAATTCTATACCTCACTTGTGGGCTTCCCTGGTCGCTCAGTGGTAAAGATTCTGCCTGCAGTGCAAGAAACGCAGGTTTGATCCCTGGGTCGGGAAGATCCACGAAAGAAGGGAAAGGCTACCTACTCCAGTATTCTGGCCTGGAGAATTCCATGGAGAGAGGAGCCTGGAGGGCTATAGTCCATGGGATCACAAAGAGTCAGACATGGCTGAAGTGACTGAGCACATACCTCACTTAATGGAAGTAGACACCCAAAGAGAATAAAGCACATATAAATCAGAACTGCTGGGCAATCAAAGGTCATGAGAAAAGAACATGGAAAGTCAAGCCATGCCAACACGACTTACTTGATCCCCATAAGCATGACGACCTATGATGATGGGTTTTACCCATCCGCTCACAAGCCGGGGTATATTTTTGCAGATGATAGCTTCCCTGAAGACAGTGCCACCCAGGATATTTCGGATGGTGCCATTTGGAGATTTCCACATTTGTTTCAACTTGAACTCCTCCACTCTCTTCTCATCGGGGGTGATGGTAGCACACTTGACACCAACATTGTACTTCTTTATAGCTTCTGCAGCGTCCTTGGTGACCTGGTCATTGGTGGCATCGCGATTCTCTATGCCTAAATCGTAGCTGGGAGTGAAAGGTTGAAAGCGTAACTTTTCCAGACACACCCTCAGGTGACTGAAAATACTCCCCTTCTCTCCCCATGCACCATTCTACGCATGCTGATGGTACACAGGGCCTGCCCTGCAGTAAGTGAAGGCTCCGTACATACCTAAATCTGCTGAGTTTTAGCATTAGTGCACCCTTGACACAAACACGGCTGCCAACTAAAAAAACCTCTAAGAAGGGCTAGACTGCTGGGCCAAGCTGCATTATGGGAAGCTGTTGAGAAGGAAATGAAATAAAAACCACTGTACTCTTTCCCCCCAGCCTACTCTTTACCACCACTTTCTGCAGACTTTCTTCATCTGATTAGCATAAAAATGCAAACCTAAGTATTATCTTCCCCTTAGAAAATATTGTGCTCTAAAAATAAAGGGGCTGAGGACTTAAAGGATTTCTTGCAGTTTGGCACTGAAGTGATGGGAGTCACAGCTGAGACAGTCAGTGCCAAAAAAATGCTAATAACTATTTAGGCCAATTAGCTATACGTTGAACCTTTCCCTAAATCTCAGGCAAGTCTTTCTCCTGGAAACAAGCCTGAAGTTTATAGAATAAATAATGGAATCCAGCAACGACTTTATATAGCCCACTGATTTATAGCTTGAAATATACCAACACCCAGACTGCAGGGTATTCAGAGTGTGAAAGAAAGCTGGTTATCCAGAGCAGAGAAGACTGTAAAACTTTAAAGTAGGTAATAGTTTGTTGAAAACAGGAAAAACAAAACAGTAATGTAGCAGTTTAATTTGTTCTCCCAGGCTTAAAAACTTTTCCAGTTTTTTCAGCTTTCAAAACTTGCTGAACCATCAAGCCCCTCAATCTCTCGTTTCAGTTCTGGTATTTCCCTTCCTTTAGATATCCCATTCCTTGTGATGGAAATGCAAAAGGGCATCCAATCTGGTGATATATTTCCAAATAAAAATAATTCCAAACTGCTTTAACCGTTCGCACCTCCTCCCTCTCCTTGAGGGTGTGTATTGTCAATCTGCATTAATTGTCAACTTCCAGACCTCCTCAGGATATCCTTCCTTCTTAATCTTGTAAGGGGTCACTTTGTACACACAGCTGTGGACTGTGTGTAAATTTTCAACATGACCTATAACCCTTTGTCTCAAAAACTTATGTAACTGCTCTTTGACCCCCAAGTGGGCAGAATGGTCCTCAGAGCTTTCTGAATGACTGTGTCTTGGGCTATAATACTCAAACTGACATGAATACAATTCTCCATTTCTTTCTTAGATTATTAATTTTTTTTCCATCTGCACTAACAAAGACACTCTTATCTTCTGACTTAGGAAGTGCCGAGTATCTATAAAAAGTCCACTCTTAACTCAAACAGCAGTATAGTCAGCAATATTCACGTTCACAGGAATCATTTTTCATCAGAAGCTTACAGAGAATTAGTGGATTTTTTTGCTTCTAAGTGAAAAGAATGAATAAATGGTCCCAATCACTGTCTAGACAACAGAAAATAAAACAAACGAATCATTCCACTTGCCTCAAAAAGAACCAATCATGTAATAATAATAGCAATCTTGGAACTACTTACACTTAAACGTTTAAGTCTCCAAAAATTTTTTAGTGTTTAGCCAGTGACTCTGCCTTAAAGTTATAATGACTGTCCTTTAAAGCTCCTTATGCCTCGAGGCTAAAGAGAATCTTTGCAGCTATTATCAAGGGAATTGGTCTACAAACTCACCTATTGCCATGTATATGAAAGTCACTCAGTTGTGTCCAACTCTTTGTGTCCAACTATACAGTCCATGGAATTCTCCAGGCCAGAATACTGGAGTGGATAGCCTTTCCCTTCTCCGGGGATCTTCCCAGCTCAGGGACCGAACCCAGGTCTCTCACATTACGGGTGGATTCTTTACTATCTGAGCCACAAGGGAAGCCCAAGAATACTGGAGTGGGTAGTGTATCCCTTCTCCAGTGGATCTTCCCGACCCAGGAATCGAACCGGGGTCTCCTGCATTGCAGGTGGGTTCTTTACCAACTGAGCTATTAGGGGAGCCCTACTGCCATGTTAGGTGTCTGTAAAATGTTTCTTTAATCATTTGGATAATGTTTTAAAAGCTTCATTTCCTATATGTCTGTGGACCTCTGCAGGTACTTGCTCCTTCTCAAGGCTGCAATATAGACACTATCAACAGCTTGTGAGTGAAAGTCACTCAGTCGTGTCCAACTCTTTGTGACCCTATGGACTCTAGTCCGCCAGGCTCCTCTGTCCATAGGATTCTCCAGGCAAGAATACCGGATGGTTTATCATGCCCTCCTCCAGGGGATCTTCCCAACCCAGGAATCCAACCCAGGTCTCCCACATTGCAGGCAGATTCTTTACCATCTGAGTCACCAGGGAAGCCCTTATTCAACAGCTTAGCCACCAGAAGGTTTCCCTGGCCTTCACTATCTCCTGAAGCTTGCTCAAACTCATGTCCATTGAGTCAGTGATGCCATCCAACCATCTCATCCTCTGTTGTCCCCTTCTTCTCTTGTCCTCAATCTTTCCCAGCATCAGGGTCTTGGACACAAATGGCTTAGGGAACTTCTCCTGAAAGGTGGGGATTGTATTAGATAACTTCGAGAATTCTGTGCTATAATTGTATAAAACGGAGAAAAGACAAGGAATGAACAGGTAAAAAGGCCCACTGACTAGTTAAGCAGAGTGACAGAAAACACTTTATCCTTTTGAAAGGACAAAACTGTGTTAACTACGTTCTTTATCGATTTATTAGAGAATTTCCAGGCGGCGCTAGGGGTAAAAAACCCATCTGCCAACGAAGGAGATTTAAAAGACGTGGGTTCAATCCCTGGGTCAGGAAGATCCTCTAGAGGAGGGCACGGGAACCCACTCCAGTATTCTGCCTGGAGAATCCCATGGACAAAGGAGCCTGGTAGGCTATAGTCCAGAAGGTTGCAAAGAGTCAGACACGACTGAGCAACTTGGCACGAAGCTCTATTCTTTTCCCTTCTGCAAATAGTACCTAGTGTTACTCTTGGCCACTAATTTATTACAAACAAAACCCTCGCAGGAAATAGAGACTTGGAAAGACCTGAGAAATCACTTTGCTGCCATCATAATTCTTCTCTTCTGAACAATGACAAGTTCAGTATTTCTAGTATTATGTTAAAATTAAAGATTCATTTCATATATATTTGAAACCCAGTCCCCCTAAAACTGAGTTCCCTTCAGAGTTTATAATTAATCTCTCTATCTAAAACTACTTCCTCTGGTCCCCTCTGACCTCCATCCTGTATTAATTTAACACTAGTCAACCAGACTCAGATGACTGAAATTGCTATCGTACACAACACTCTGAATGACTATAACTGTGGTTTAGATATCATCAGTAACAACAGAATCAGGTTGTTTCTCCAGGGAAAAGACGAGCTATCAGCCCCTGAGCCATAAGAATGTAAACTGGATGCAACCTGACTTCCCTGAAACTAACATTTAAGAAAAGCCACAGAAATTTCACGATTTTAAAATACCCTCAGGCCTTCCCGGAGAAGGAAATGGCAACCCACTCCAGTGTTCTTGCCTGGAGAATCCCAGGGATGGGGGAGCCTGGTGGGCTGCTGTCTATGCGGTTGCATAGAGTCGGACACGACTGAAGTGACTTAGCAGCAGCAGCAGGCCTTCCCGGGTGGTCCAGTAGTTAGGAACCCCCCTGCCAATGCAGGGAACACAGATTTGATCCCTGGTCCAGAAGATTCTATGTGCAGCGGGGCAACTAAGCCCATGTGCCCCAACTACTGAGCCCCTGTGCCCAGACCCTGAGCTCTGCAACAAGAGGAGCCACTGCAATGAGAAGCTGGTTCACCCTAACTAGAGAGTAGCCCCTGCTCGCCACGACAAGAGAAAGCCAGTGCGCTACAACAAAGGCCTAGCGTACCCAAAAATATAATAAATTAAAAAAAAAACAAAAAAAAACCCAACTCAAAGATCAAGCTGGAGTGGATCTGAGACTTGTCTCCACTCCCTTCTTGGTGCCCTGAAAATAAACCCTTACTTTGCTGCAAACAACTAGTGTCAGAGTTGCTCTCTGCACAGGGGCACACCAGTTATACGTTTTGCTTGCATATAAGCTCGCCCAAAGCTTTATTCACAAGATATAATGGTATCTATGCAAAAAAGTGACCTATACCCCGAAATCACATGGATTATGCTTTCTGAGTTGGCTGCTTGGCAGAGTGATTCATTTACCTGTGCAGGTCCAGTTCCACGTAGGGAAAAATGAGTTTCTCTTTAATCAACTCCCAAATGATTCGTGTCATTTCATCTCCTTGCATCTCTACCACAGACCCGCCTTGGATTTTTTGAGACATTTTGACTTCAATAAACCTCTAAGAGGAAAAAAGATAAGACACATATCTCATCATTTGTTTCATTACTGTGTAAAAGCAAAATACAATTTGGTGATTACTAAAAAGAACATTTCATAATAGCATGATTGCACAGAAAGCAATAACAATTACATTAACCATTAGAATTGAATACATTCTCTGTATAAAGCATTGTGTTACATGCCTCTTTGTGATTTCTGAGTCAACACTCACAACAACCCTGTAAGATGGAAATTGTTTTTCCATTCTACTTTGCTAAAAGAAAGCAAGCTTTCCAAGGCCATCCGGCTAGAGCGTGGGGAAGCCTGAGCCTGTCACATGCCCTTAATAATGTAAATCACTATTCTTTATTCTTGACTGCTGGTTTGTCTTATCAAATGGGATTATTTCCACAGTATCATGTTTATTTGAACACCTCTATCCAATGCCTCATTGTGCTAGGCCTTCAAGATGCACAGAATGATGGGTACTACTATTTCCCCTCTTTTAAGAGGCTCTTTTGGTTAAAACAACTACCCTTAACAAGATTCAACAAGTTCTAGTGACCCATTTTAAAGAAAATTTAATTAAGTCTTTTTACAAGTGAAAGATGAAGAATTCCTGGTGGAACTCTATTTTCCTAGACACAGTAAAGGATAGTGGTGATGATAAGGTGGTCCAGTAGTTAGGAACCCCCCTGCCAATGCAGGGAACACAGATTTGATCCCTGGTCCAGAAGATTCTATGTGCAGCGGGGCAACTAAGCCCATGTGCCCCAACTACTGAGCCCCTGTGCCCAGACCCTGAGCTCTGCAACAAGAGGAGCCACTGCAATGAGAAGCTGGTTCACCCTAACTAGAGAGTAGCCCCTGCTCGCCACGACAAGAGAAAGCCAGTGCGCTACAACAAAGGCCTAGCGTACCCAAAAATATAATAAATTTAAAAAAAAACAAAAAAAACCCAACTCAAATATCAAGCTGGAGTGGATCTGAGACTTGTCTCCACTCCCTTCTTGGTGCCCTGAAAATAAACCCTTACTTTGCTGCAAACAACTAGTGTCAGAGTTGCTCTCTGCACAGGGGCACACCAGTTATACGTTTTGCTTGCATATAAGCTCGCCCAAAGCTTTATTCACAAGATATAATGGTATCTATGCAAAAAAGTGACCTATACCCCGAAATCACATGGATTATGCTTTCTGAGTTGGCTGCTTGGCAGAGTGATTCATTTACCTGTGCAGGTCCAGTTCCACGTAGGGAAAAATGAGTTTCTCTTTAATCAACTCCCAAATGATTCGTGTCATTTCATCTCCTTGCATCTCTACCACAGACCCGCCTTGGATTTTTTGAGACATTTTGACTTCAATAAACCTCTAAGAGGAAAAAAGATAAGACACATATCTCATCATTTGTTTCATTACTGTGTAAAAGCAAAATACAATTTGGTGATTACTAAAAAGAACATTTCATAATAGCATGATTGCACAGAAAGCAATAACAATTACATTAACCATTAGAATTGAATACATTCTCTGTATAAAGCATTGTGTTACATGCCTCTTTGTGATTTCTGAGTCAACACTCACAACAACCCTGTAAGATGGAAATTGTTTTTCCATTCTACTTTGCTAAAAGAAAGCAAGCTTTCCAAGGCCATCCGGCTAGAGCGTGGGGAAGCCTGAGCCTGTCACATGCCCTTAATAATGTAAATCACTATTTTTTATTCTTGACTGCTGGTTTGTCTTATCAAATGGGATTATTTCCACAGTATCATGTTTATTTGAACACCTCTATCCAATGCTTCATTGTGCTAGGCCTTCAAGATGCACAGAATGATGGGTACTACTATTTCCCCTCTTTTAAGAGGCTCTTTTGGTTAAAACAACTACCCTTAACAAGATTCAACAAGTTCTAGTGACCCATTTTAAAGAAAATTTAATTAAGTCTTTTTACAAGTGAAAGATGAAGAATTCCTGGTGGAACTCTATTTTCCTAGACACAGTAAAGGATAGTGGTGATGATACACTGAATACAAAGTGATTTCTCAATGAGAGAAATCTGTATGTATAGAGAAGAACTACTGCTCAGAACATGTCCCTGGCCTGTCCTTGGTATCCCAGCTCCTGGCCTATTCTTCCAGCCATTAGTGGGCAAAGGCAAACTGCCAGTGGGCGGGAGAGGGGACTGGAGCTGTTCGAGGAAGAGGTGTCTTCCTGGGATGTGGGGGTAGCAGATACTAATCAATCTGATTCCCAGAGACAGCAGGGCTACACCCTATGGACGCACTCAGTCACCTCCCACTCTTAGCGACCCTTTGGACTGTAGTCCCCTGGGCTCCTGTGTCCATGGGATTCTCCAGGCAAGAATACTGGAGTGGGGAGTCATGGCCTCCTCCAGGGGATCTTCCTGACCCAGGGATTGTACCCATGTTTCTTAGGTCTCCTCTATTGGCACCTGGGAAGCTCTCTGTGAAAAGTGAAAGTGTTAGTTACTTGGTCATGTCTGATGCTTGGCGAACGCATGGACTGTAGCCCGCCAGGCTCCTCTGTCCACCAAATTCTCTAGGCAAGAATTCTGAAGTGGGTTGCCATAGGGCTTAGGCTTAAAGAAAGGCATGTTTCCCGAGAATAAGAGGAGGTACTGAGCCTGCTAAAGGTATCTGTTCCCTTTCATGGTGCTTTAATGGAAACTATTTTTCACTCTAGAACATAACAACAGATTGCTTTTATTCTATTAATTTACAGTTGAGGACTGAAAGTCAGGAGAATTGACTTTAAAAAATTATTATGAAATAGGTCTATAAACATTATCTCAAAAAGTTGAGTTAAAGTTGTCTGGCCTTTATATTTTTAAATGTAATGATAAGTAGACTGTGAGCTTCAGTTCCTCATGACAAGCCAAGATATATTCCTAACTTCTAGGCCCATTTTCACTTCCTAATTTGCAATTCTGGGATTTTGCTTATTATATTAGTATTTAGGAGGTTCTCTAGACCATTACTGGGGGACCATCTGAAACTCAACTAGAATGAAAAAATGAACACACTGGTGTGAATGCATCAGCTACTTCCCATTTGTAATTTCAAGTATAATTTAAAGCACAGCTTAAAGTATACGATTTAATCATACTGATCCCACAGTCACATCTGTCCTTGTATTTAAAACAAAACAAAAAGAGGCAGCAAACTTATCTCAGTTTTGATACATTTCCAAGGCCATATTCCTATGAAGTATTATGCAAGAGTTATGACTTGGCTATTTTTCTTTAATGGCAAATACAGTTAATAAAAAGTCATACAGCAAACTTGAAATTTCAGTAATAAGTGATAATATTTTTTGGTTAAGCAAACACTTTCTGATTAATCTTTCTACATTTCATAACACATAACAAACAAAGGTTTTCTTCACGATACTTATCCAATACATTTTTACCATCTTTTAATTTAAAAAATGAAGCTTTATTGTAGACCCTAGTAGTAGACTACACTGTAGGACACTATTTTATTTCTTCTAGATTTGAATCCTATGAGGGTGGGCTTCAGACACCATTGAAGACACCATTGAGTTCACTTTTGATTCTAGTCCCTCAGATTTTTTTGTCTCCACCCAAACCCTGATTTCAGAAGGAAGGCCTTTTCCAACAAGCCAGTTCATTTATCGAGCAGCTGAATTCCAACCTCCTGACACACATGTGCAATGCTAGAAAATAAACCTGAACTAACACAAAGTCGTTTAAGAAGAGCTGCTTCCGGGGGTGGGGTGGGGGTGAGGGTGGGGGAGGGTGCTGAGTTCATGAACTACACTAATTTCTGTGCAAAAAAAAAAAAGTCTTGCAGAGAAGACTCTAGACTGAAATAAACAAGCAAACAGTTGCAATTTATTGGTGGAAAAATTCCTGACTCATTCCCTTACAGGGCCTCCGACCACCTCCAAGACCTCCACGAGCTAACTGCTCGCAGTTAGCAGTAATGCCATATGAAAGAAGGGGAGGAATTACTAATTCTCACCTTAACAATTTCTAATCACCCCCAACTCCTCTCAATCTTGCAGACTCAGCTTATCTCCTAAAACAAAACAAAAAACCAGAAGACAAAGATAAGGTACAAGGCACCCCAGCACTCTTCTCCGGAGAATTTAGCTGCTTTTTTTCCTTAAAGCCAGGCAGCCCGGTTTATCTGCTTTAAAGTACAGTGCCGAGTGCAACCTAAGGGGCAAAGGGCAGTTTTAGGTCCGCATGCACCTTCCAAGTAAAGTATAATAAATACCCCTGCTTGCACTCGGAGGAGGGCGCGTCCGTGGGCGCGGCCCGGGCTCGTCGTCCGTTAGCTAGTCTTGAGGTTTGCACGTCCTTCGGGGACGCTGTGACCAGCCGGTTCTTGGCCTCCATGCGTCTTTGGGCCCTTGTGCAATAGAAGCCAGCTGGGTTCCTCCTTCCACGCCCGACCCTTCCCTCCCGAGCGCCGGGAGCGCCTTTAACCCTTCTCCACCTTAACTCGAGATGCCGACGGCGACATTTCCTCCACCCCTGACAGCCACCAGGTGGCCTACGACCGCTCCTCGCCGACCCCTTCAAGCTCCCCAGGAGGACGCCTCCAGCCCGCCGCACCACCAGTCCCGGAGGCCCCAGTTCCATGCACACGCCCAAGTCCTCCTACAGCCGAGGCCGCACGTCTTCTTCGCCCTAAACCCAAGACTTCGTCTTCCACGAGTCCCTGCATCCTCCTACCGCCCGATTTTTTCTTCTGCTGCAGACCCGGCATCCACCCACCGCCTGCAACCTCCCCTTACCCAATTTCACCCTCCAATGCCTAACAGCGGGCCGCCTACACAACCAGGCATCTAGCACCGTCTTCCTCCCATTTCCTTCTCCCACGCCCACTACCTGGATTTTTTTCCCCGCTGCCTTGCGACCAGGACGCGCCGCTAAACTCCCCCTAGCATACTCAAGATTTGAGCGTCCTTTCCCACATTAACAGAGCCTTCTCGCAGGAGCCAGAGACCGGGTCTGCCCCTCGAAGCCTGCGGCTACCTGCGGGGAAGGTACGTTGGCGATGACCCGGGAGCACACAGTCACTCAGTGTCCACTTTGGCAATCCCGGCTGGACCCCAACTGTTCCAGCTTCTCACGGGGCCTCGGCAGAAACCCAGAATCTGGCCAGCCAGGCAGGGAGGGGGCTTCTTCACGCAGCTGGAATGCAAGGATCGAACAGTTGCACAAGCAGGCACGCTACAGTAAATTTCACCCACCGCCGTTGACTAGGTCTTCAGAGCTAATGTATCTATCTATAATTTCAATTTCTATTGCGTGCTATAAATAATGGAGAAGGAAATGGCAGCGCACTCTAGTATTCTTGTCTGGAAAACCCCACCGAGAGCGAAGCCTGACCGGCTAAAGTCCATAAGGTTGCAAGACTCGGTGGCAACTTGGCGACTAAACAAGGAGAACTATAAATAAATGCAGTAGTTATTTGCGTTAGACAATAAGGTTAATGAAATCATCTGAGTTCCAGTGACATTCAAATCTAAGGAGGCCTTAGAAAACAGTGGATTAAAATAAATTATGTCCTCTGCAGGAAATTATTTTTAGTGTAGTCCTTACTTTTGAAAACATGGAGGGCGGGGGAGAAGTATTTTAGATTATGATTTGTAGGATAAGCCCATGCTTAGTCCAGGATTCAGTGCCCCCATATTTATTTATTTTTTCTTTTTTAAAAGTTTTATTGAAATACGGATATCCTGGAATGAGAAGTCAAGTGGGCCTTAGGAAGCATCATTAAGAACAAAGCTAGTGGAGGTGATGGAATTCCAGCTGAGCTGTTGTAAATACTTAAAATGATGCTGTTAAAGTGCTGCAGTCAATATACCAGCAAATTTGGAAAACTCAGAAGTGGCCACAGAACTGGAAAAGGTCAGTTTTCATTCCAATCCCAAAGAAAGACAATGCCAAAGAGTGTTCAAACTACTGCACAATTGCACTCATCTCACACACTAGCAAAGTAATGCTCAAAGTCCTTCAAGCTAAGCTTCAACAGCACAGGAATTGAGAATTTTAAGATGTGCAGACTGGATTCAGAAAAGGCAGAGGAACCAGAGATCAAATTGCCAACATCCATTGGGTCATAGAAAAAGCAAGAGAATTAAAAAAAAAAAATCTGCCTTATTGACTATGCCAAAGCCTTTGACTATGTGGATCACAACCAACTGGAAAATTCTTCAAGAGATGGGAATACCAGACCACCTGACCTGCCTCCTGAGATATCTGTATGCAGGTCAAGAAGCAATAGTTAGAACTGGACATGGAACAACAGACTGGTTCCAAATTGGGAAAGGAGTACCTCAAGGCTGTATATTGTCTCCCTGCTTATTTAACTTATATACAGAGTACATCATGAAAAATGCTCCGGCTGGATGAAGCACAAGCTGGAATCAAGATTGCCAGGAGAAATATCAATAACCTCAGATATGCAGATGACACCACCCTTATGGCAGAAAGTGAAGAGGAACTAAAGGGCCTCTTGATCAAAGTGAAAGAGGAGAGTGAAAAAGTTGGCTTGAAACTCAACATTCAAAAAATGAAAATCATGGCATCCAGTCCCATCACTTCATGGCAAATAGATGGGGAAACAATGGAAACAGTGAGAGACTTTATTTTCTTGGACTCCAAAGTCACTTCAGTTGGTGACTGCAGCCATGAAATTAAAAGATGCTTGCTCCCTAGAAGAAAAGCTTTGACCAACCTAGACAGCATATTAAAAAGCAGAGACATTACTTTGCTGACAAATGTCCATCTAATCAAAGCTATGGTTTTTCCAGTAGTTATGTGTGGATGTGAGGGTTGGACTATAAAGAAAGTTGAGTGCTGAAGAATTGATGCTTTTGAGCTGTGGTGTTGGAGAAGAGTCTTGAGGGTCCCTTTGAACTTCTAGGCGATCAAATCAGTCCATCCTAAAGAAAATCAGCCCTGAATATTCATTGGAAGGATTGATGCTGAAGCTGAAGCTCCAATACTTTGGCCACTTGATGGGAAGAGCTGACTCATTGGAAAACACCCTGATGCTGGGAAAGGTTGAAGGCAGGAGGAGATAGGGACGACAGAGGATAAGGTGGATTGGATGGCATCACCAACTTGATGGACATGAATTTGAGCAGGCTTCAGGAGTTGGTGATGGACAGGGAAGCCTGGTGTGCTGCAGTCCATGGGGGTCACAAAGAGTCAGATATAACTGAGTGACTGAATTGAACTGGAACAGTCATGGCACCTTCTGGGCATGTCATTTCACTTGCTGATTGAGGATTAAGGTCTAGTCTTGTCTGCCATCTTGGTCCCATTTGTTTCTACTAAGTTTATGTTGTGTCCTTGGGCTATGTCACTCTTTCAAAACTTGTGCCCTGCCCCTTTCCCTCCTGTTATAATGGACATGAGTTTGAGGAAACTCAGGGAGACAGTGAAGGACAGGGAAGCCTGGCATGCTTAGTCCATTGGGTCACAAAGAGTTGGGCATGACTTAGCGACTGAACAACAACAACAGTTGATTTATGATGCTGAGCCAATTTCTACTGTACAGCAAAATGATTTAGATATACATTACATAAATATATTATTCTTTTTTAATGTTCCTTTCCATTATGGTTTATCACAGAACACTGAACATAGTTCCCTGTGCTATACAGTTGTTGTTGTTTAGTTGCAAAGTCACATCCAACTCTTTGTGACCTCATGGACTGTAGCCCACTTGCCTCTTCCGTCCATGGGTTCCCCTGGCAGGAATATGGAGTGGGTTGCCATTTCCTTCTCCACCAAAATTTATTTTTAAAGTTATCTCTAATACTGGATTTTTATTACTCTTGGAGATTATGAAGGGCACTATGCATTTTGGACACTCAAGGGCACTGGTATTTTTCCCAAGAGAAAAAGAAGATTTTTTGGGTTGAAAGAACCTCTTGATGAAAGTGAAAGAGGAGAGTGAAAAAGCCAGCTTAAAACTCAGCATTCAAAAACTAAGATCATGGTATCCTGTCCCATCACTTCATGTCAAATAGAAGGGGAAAAGTGGAAACAATGACAGATTTTCTTTCTTCTTGGGCTCCAAAATCACTGTGGATGGTGACGGCTTGCATGAAATTAAAAGACATTTGCTCCTTGGAAGGAAAGTTATGACTGACCTAGCCAGTGTATTAAAAGGCCGAGACATCACGTTGCTGACAAAGGTCTGTAGAGTCAAAGCTGTGGTTTTTCCAGTAGTCATGTATGAATGTGAGAGTTGGACCATAAAAAGGGCTGAGCACCAAAGAACTGATGCTTTGGAATTGTGGTGCTGGAGAAGACTCTTGAGAGTCCTCAAGAGTGAGATCAAACCAGTCAATCCTAAAGAAAATATTTGTGCAGAATTGATTACATATGGTTTTGTATTTTCATCTTGAATCTGAGACCCCAAATAACCTGAGATTGTAAACTATCATATTATATCAGGTTCTTGTGGTTTATTACCCCTTGCCCACTACTAAAATTATTTATAAATGTATACATTCTTGTTCCAAAAAGGATTTAGGGCAGTCTTCAAGATGTATACAATATAGCATGATAGAAGACATTGAGTATAGGTGAAGAAAATGAGGTAAAGACTGAATAAATACAGGAAAGTACACAGAACCAAGGTGAGTTTAATCACAAAATGCATTCCATCAAATCCTAAACAGTGCCAAAAGGGGGCTACACATTTGGCTCTAAGCCAATGTGGGAGGCAAGGTGACATTTAAGAGGGTCTTAGCATCGGAGAAGGCAATGGCACCCCACACCAGTACTCTTGCCTGGAAAATCCCATGGACGGAGCAGCCTGTTAGGCTGCAGTCCATGGGGTCGCCAAGAGTCAGACATGACTGAGCGACTTCATTTTCACTTTTCACTTTCATGCATTGGAGAAGGAAATGGCAACCCACTCCAGAGTTCTTGCCTGGAGAATCCCAGGGACGGCAGAGCCTGGTAGGCTGACGTNCTCACATTCTGATTCTTTTGAATTTAGCTTGGCTTTTCTATTGGATGCTATGTAAGGATTCATTTAGAAAATCTTCCAGACTCACAGACACGGAGAACAGACATGCAGTTGCCAAGGGAGAGAGGGGGTAGGGGAGGGATGCAGAGTCTGCGAGGAATAGATTGGGAATTTCTGGTTAGCAATGCAACTATCATGTATTGTTGTTGTTCAGCCACTAAGTTGTTTCCAACTCTTTTCAACCTTATGGACTGCAGCGTGCCAGGCTCCTCTGTTCTCCACTGTCTCCCAGAGTTTGCTCAAATTCATGTCCAATGAGTCAGTGATACCATCTAACCATCTCATCCTCTGCCACCCACTTCTCCTTATGCTTTCTATCTTTCCCAACATCAGAGTCTTTTCCAATGAGTCAGCTCTTTGCATCAGGTGGCCAAAGTAGTGAAGCTTCAGCTTCAGGATCAACCCTTCCAGTGAATATTCAGGACTGATCTTCTTTAGGATTGACTGGTTTGATCTCTTTGCAATCCAGGGGACTCTCTGGAGTCTTCTCCAGCACCACAATTCCAAAGCATCAGTGCTTCAGCTGTCAGTCATCTTTATGGTCCAACTCTCACATCCGTACACGCCTACTGGAAAAACCAGAGCTTTGACTATATGGACCTTTGTCGGCAAAGTGTTGTCTCTGCTTTTTAATATGCTGTCTAGATTGGTCATAGCTTTTCTTCCAAGGAGTAAGTGTCTTTTAATTTCATGGCTGCAGTCACCATCTGCAGTGATTTTGGAGCCCAGGAAAATAAAGTCTCTCATTGTTTCCACTTTTTCCCTGTCTATTTGCCATGAAGTGATGGGACCCGATGCCAAGATCTGAGTTTTTTGAATGCTGAGGGGTTTTTGTTTGTTTGTTTTATAATTCTATTTATTCACTTATTTTTGCCTGCACTGGGTCTCCATTGCTGTGTGAGGGCTTTCTCTAGTTTTGGAGCGTGGGTGCTACTCTTTGCTGCAGTGCATGGGCTTCTCCTTGCAGTGGCTCCTCTTGTTTCGGAGAACAGGCTCTAGGGGCACTTGCTTCAGTAGTTGCAGCTTGCAGGCTCCAGGGCATGGGCTCTGTAATTGTGGTACATGGTCTAGTTGCTGTGGGTCATGTGGAATCTTCCCCTACCGTGGATAGAACCCGTGTTC